TAGTTATTGAGAAGACTAAATTCAAAGTTTAAGAAAATTTAATGAAATTTTGTTATATATCATTAGTAATCATTAACGATGATACTCGGCAGGGGTGCTATATATCGTTAGTAATCTAGGGATTACTAATAATATATATCACTTTTAAAATTTTCCTGATGAAGGTGTATTTATGTTCTTTTCACCAACTTAAAGGATTACACTCTTCATAATGTGGGTCCTTTAGATCATATTTAGAAATTGGTGGAATTGAGAAATATACTTGAAATTCTATATCAATTCAAAAAAGGGATAAAGGTTTGACTCCATCATCAAAAAAAAAAAACATTTCTGTATCTAGGGCTTAATTGGTAGTTGTTAAGATATTTTTTGGTTGGAAAGTTCAATTTTTTTATGTAACTCCTTGATCACTTCTTTTTGTATTGTGGGTGAGGCAGTTGATAAGGTTTTGAAACGAGGATCAAGAAATGTGGCAAACCACCCAATCATTTCTGGATTGTCCTATCAAGACACCATTGATGTGTGAAGACTTTGGTGCATTTCAATAGCTTCTAGGTTTGTAAGCGTATATTCTATTTGATCCAAGACTTTAAAAAGATGTTGTATGGTAGGGTACATTATACTCAGTGTCAGATAGTGGACACTATCTATGAATATCAAAACTTGTGCGAATGAACATAAAATTTGGCATATTTCTTCAAGACCTAAAATTTTTTTTTTAAGAAAAAAAAAAATTTAATAATGAAGGATCCTCATAACCAAAGGTAACAATAAAATTATGTTGTAGTTTTATTACTATGTTCTGCTTTGATAACTTTTTTTTTTTTTGTATTTATTTATTTAGTTATTTTTACATTCTTTTTTTATTTTATTTTTGTATTATTTATTTTTTTTTATTTTGTTTTTTATTTATTTATTTATTATAACAACAGATTTTTGAGAACTTCTGTCTATTAAATTTAAATAAAGATATATTAACTTGTCCATTCTTCATCAGTAAGTATTTTTTCATTTAGGTTATTATCATCAGCATGAATAGTATGGTTAGAATTATTTGTTAGATTTGTTGCCAATTCTAAAATTAGTTTTCGAAATTCAAGAAGCCTTTGAAGAACAAGATAAGTGGAGTTCTATCTGATAATAGTGTCACTTGAAATAGGATCTAGGACAAACATATTGGTGATTAGTTTAGTTGCATTATCATTATTTTTTTTCAATCATTTCATGCTGAATTTTTCAAAATAATGATCTATATTTGTCACAATTAACCAAAAAGTTATTTAATGATTTTGTATGCCCAATTAAAGTTTCACATTGTTTTAACTTATCTGTAACCACAAGATGAATAGTATGTGCTATACAACCAAGGTGAGGAGTGCCTAGTTGTCTAATTGCTTTGTTCATAGATGACACATTGTCATTTATTACAACACTCATTCTATAAGAACTTTGTACAAAAAATCTTCGATTCGATCTTCTGTATATAGTATTACAAATCAAAAGTTAAAAAAATTAGTTAATTGATTAGTTGACAACTAATCAATTGAAAATTTGTAACTCTACCTATATGTGAATAGAGAAAATGCTCAATTGTAATTAAGGATTTGTATATGATAAAGTTCTCAAAAAGCCAATGGGCTGTTATGCCAATATATAGAACATGGTTTTGTGTTCATAAATCAGTAATAATGCAGGTGGAAGCTATTGTTCGATGTATCATTTCTTTTAGTATTGCGTGTGTATGAAATACTGATTCTTTTATCATATTTTTAGTTGTATTAGTACAAGGGACCTCAAACCATTAATTAATCTTATAACAAAAATCTCAAAACCAATTATGGTAGATACAATTTAATGGCATCATTTCTTCAACAATCCAAGCAACAAGCTGATAAGCAATGTGACTTTGTTGTTTTTTAGAAAGAGGCAAAGTGTTTTCTATCTGTTTTTGTATGATTGGTTCAATTGTTGGTTGAGTTACTGATGTGGGATTTACAGTTGTTATAGGGGATGCATTCCATTTTTGGGTTTTAAAAATTCGATGCTCGGTACATAAATGTGCAGTTATATTAGTTGTTGATGTTTTTGGCTGAAACACTGTTTTATACCACTTACTAGTACCTTCTTCATTATCTATATGAACTGTACAATATTTGACCTTGGTTAATTTATCTCAACAAGTATATTTTCATATTTAATTAGGACCAGACAATTTGCTTTCTTTTTTATGTATTATATTAGTTTTGGTTTTTTTTTTTGAAGTTTCAATTGGAGATGTTGGAGAAAAATAAGAAGTAATAGGTAAAAAATTAACCGTATTTCCCTTATCATCATCAGTATGATAGTCGCCTTCATTATAATTATCATTTTTATCTCTAAAAACATTTTCATTATTAATATGATTATTATCAAAGTTATGTTCAAAGTTATTTATTCCTTCATATTCAAATGACATATTATTTTCATTATTAACTTCAAATAATTGATCAGACATTTTTGTTAGGGGCCGACTATATCAAAGGTTCGTAATTATATATTTTGGGTTTATAATATACATATAATGATAAGAGTATGGATAGTGTATTTTATATCTTTTTTTTTCTTTTTTTTTAATTTTATTCAAATTATTTAACTGCACATTATGTTATACTGAGGGTTTGGGATGCAGAATCTTTGATCATATTTATTTATTTTTTTATTCGAAAAATCATTGTTTTAGTATTTTTTGAAAGCGTATTCAAGATTTCTTATGGCCCAAACCCTATTAATACTGTATTCAGGTAGTTGTTTGCACTTGAGTAACAGTTTAAGTGTTTGGCATAATATAATTTCATATCATAAGTAGGAAGGATAAACATAAGGCATTTATTTATTATTGAAAAATTAGCAATAGTAGGTAATGCAGATAGAATATACAATGTTGGATATTGTTATTTTAATAGAATTGGAGTTAAAAAGGATGAATCTTATATCAAAATTCAGTAGTTAATTAAGACTTTTTTAAAACAGAGTGATTGTTATGATTGCAACTAGTCATTGGCATGAGAATATTGCATTTGAATGTGTTGTTTTTTTTATTAAACTTGTAATTTTTATTTTATTCATTAAACATTACTTTTGAGGAAAATTGTATATGTCTTATAAAATTTAGTGAGGTTTTCGTAGACTACTCAAGAAATGTGAACCAGTTTGCAATGATAAATTAATTTTTTTTAACTACCTAAATTCGCAAGAATTATTGATTTAGTGAATGAAAAAATTTCATGGATGATATATAATTTATATTATGCACTTTATTCCAAATCCTTGGTGTTCGGTCTATATTACTGTTGGGTGGTTAAATATATATAATTTATATTGTGAACTTTATTCCAAATTCTTGGCATTCGTTCAATATAACTGTTATACATCCTTTTTTAGATTGATATATGCATCTTAAGGTACTAGAAATAAGCACTTGCATGAATCTATATACAATTAGGTTAAATTGAAATTTTGTCATGTTAAAACTAGTTTTTTTACATATATATACATTTATGTACATATTAATTTGTATGCGATCATATTAATTATTACTCTTGGCTAGAGCATATGTATATTTAATAAAATTATTGTTTAATTTTTAGGGGTCTTTTTTTAATAAACCATTACACAACCTTCTGCTATTAAGTAACATAAAGAATAGCAAACAAATCATTCAAATAAAATAGTTTTTTGGCCTCTATATGTGATAAATAAGCAATAAATATTAAAAAACAGCCATGCCAAGCTGTAAAAAGAAGTGTTATTACTAGTTATTGAAACATTCAGGTATTTTCAGGTGGTGAAGGATCAGTTTGTCATTAAAAGATTGGTTGTATAATGGGTAAGGTGAATTTGGAAACAATTTTTTAGAAAAATGATCTTTTTAACTTACTTTTAGCTAATAATTAAATATATATATATTAAAATGTTCTATACACTTAATTATGGATTAAAAAGTAAGTTTAAAAAACCATTGTTGTAAAAACCCACTTTGTAATAAATTTTAATAACAAATAATTCTTAATTATGATTGGCTATCAAACCAAATTAGTGGATATGATTATAGGTGAATTCCTATTGGCTATTATAGTTTTTATATATAATTTAATAAAAAAAATTAACTAAGTCAATTTTTTGAAAAATTGACCAGCTAAGACCAGCTAAGCTGATAAAATTGACTATGCAAAATCGACTACAAATACTAACTGTAATAGAATTTGATTTTTTTTTATATATTAGTATATATTTATTTTTAGCTCTATATTATATCTTATATATTTTTCCTAATATTTTTACATAGTTTATAAATTATTTTATTAATTTTAATTACCTATTTAATAGATTAATATTTATTTTATTAGTAGATTTCTTATAGTATTTTATTATAGCTAATAGTTGTTAGAATAT